GTGCCAACCATCACCTCCTCTCTATTGCTGTGAAAATAATTATTTACCTCAAGTCTCTAGATCAGATCAAGGCACTGATACCTTTTCTATAATTTTCTCTCATTCAAAAGTGCAATTCGAGAACACTGTATGTGACGAATCTCAGAGCAGAATATGTACAGGACAGGAGCTAAAGTTTGCTCACAGGGTACCCATTTCTTGCTCTATGACATTGTTAGAATAGGATGCAGAACATTATTTTACCCTTCTTTCCTCTAAGTGAAACCATTTCTAATGATTAAAAAATTTCATCATATCCTTTTGTGAGGGAGCGTGGAGACCATGACCCAATCTTCCATCATCCTAGAATTCAGCTCTCAGGAATGGAAAATAAATTTTACCTTTTAGCTTGCACCTTTTGTAGTGGTATTCATGGATGCAAAAAAAGTCTCACTTGTTACCCTCTAATGTATCTTTTCAGGTGTTTTGCCTCGTGACAGTACTATAACCAACACACAGAGAATCAAACTGTTATACTTCAGCTCCTCTCCCCACAAAAATTAGGTACACATCTACCAAAATCCTACCTAAATATTTTCATAATATAGCCTCTTTTTGAGAGACTTTTTTTTTGCTATAGATCTCCAGAAAATGTTAATCAGTGGTTTTAAGCTGCAGGAGGTGGAAATAACTTGAGTTATTTTTGCTAAGGTGGTAGAAAATAAAGACTATCAAAATATGTCTGCTAATGGACTTTTGTAAATGGTGTGATTCAGGTAAAAAAAATAAACAGAAATAAAAAAGAGCAGGGATTGAAATAAAATAAATTGAATGGAGTGTCTGGAATTTTAATGTGCATTGAGGTGTTTTAGTGCAGATTTTAGGAGCCGTTGGCTATTTTTATTGTGATTTTGGGGGGTTTTGGGCCATTTTAATTTGGATTTCCTGTGGATTTTTTGCCCACGAATTTTCCTGTTTCATTCTCCCAGCAGCGAATCGTCATTTACTTCTCTCATAGAATACTTGGCTGCTAGGTTTTGTTTCTGCCAAAACACACCCGGGACTTGCACTGCACTTTTCTTCTAAACCCTCCGTACCATACCATTCTGCCTTTCTTTGTTATCTGCATTTAAATGGAAAGCTTCTTGGCTACATGTCCCATAAAAGAACTGCGCCTACACATCAAGCTTGCACGGAGCTTCCCTCTCAAACTTGTGTTTGCACCACATTCAAGGGGCATTCGTCTTTCTTTTGCCACCTGCAAAGTGCCACCAAATTGCCACACTCTTCGCACGTTTCTTTTCAGCTTGAAGTACCTCAGTGCAAATTACAGCCTCACAAGGACTAGAGCCCTGGAGAGATGTCTCGCATGGAAAAAATTTCCAGGATAAAGACATATCCCTCATGTTCCTTTTTCCTTTTCCAGATTGCTGTGTTGAATGTCTTGGGCATAGAACAACTAACCCAGCAAGTACTTCTCTCCTGCCACATTTCACTGAGCGAGAGCTACATGGACCCTTTGGACCCTGTCAAGCAAAATGCACATAAGCAGACCTAAAGCTGAGGAAAAGCCATGCTCAACACACAGTAGTTCTCTATAGTATTCATGCTGCAACGCAACAAAGCTGAATGCCATGGCTGGGCTTCAGTTCTCGCTGCATCACATAAGGCCAAGAATGAAGTGGTAGAGCACCTGATTCATTTGAGCAGTGTACCAAACTGAGAAAGTGCAGCAAAAGCTCCTTCAAAATTGTCAGCTGATAATGCTCTTGCTGCTTGGAAAAGTAACACACAGCTGTTGACCACCTCTGCATGTGGCGATCAGCTGCTTCTTATGCCTTCACTGTTGCAGAGTTTTGCGGAACAGAGAAGGCATTCTGAAAGTATGTGTTCTCCAAACAGCTTTGAAACAATGCATAGCACACTGCCTCTCTGTACCATCCTTCCCATAGAGGCATGCCATCTACATTTTACACTCTCTCAACTCAGTTGCCAACTTTTGGCAGCTGTTGTCCTAGCAAGAGGCTCTAGAAGTCAAAGCCAGTGCAGGACAGCACCTTCTGTTTTGCCTGCGTAAGTTGCATCAAACTCACTCAGTCACTGTATCCTTTCTTTCTCCACTGCATCTACAAATGTGTTCTCCACATCTTGGAGCCTAATGATGGCAAGGGTAATGTTTTCCACAGAAGGCTGGAAGAGGAGTAGGTAGCAGTAAAGGTAGCTCTCATTAAAATGCCCCCTTCTGACTTGTCACTTACAGCCAGTATGCTGTGCACACCAGCCCGGTTTTCTGCAGCTTTGTTTTCCACCCTTTGTGTCCTGCTGTGCTTTCATTCTCCCAGAGGCAAATCATTGTCTACTTCTCGCACTGAGAATATTAGGCCAGTACCAGAGCACTCCTAGATTTTGCTTCTGCCGAAACACCTCTAGATCATGTATCTTCCCTCTAAGAGCTACACAGCCCTGTATTCCATCTCTTTTGTTATCTGTACCAAAGCAGAAAGCTTCTCAGCAGCAACATGCACAGAGAAAGAAGTGTGCCAGGATAGCTTCACACAAATACCTGGTGTTCTGTGGCTTCATTCTTCGCCCTAGCTGATCTGGACAGAACAGAAGCACAGCAATGCCATCAACTTTGCCCCCTTTGGCAGTCTATCATCCTTTTATTCTTCTGTATTCAAACTGTCTTCTACTTCTTGCAGAAAATGCTCTCTTGGAAGCAAAGAGCTCCTAAGTTGTCCATCAGCTGAAGTTTGCCCATAGGCTTCCCCTAAATCTTGTGGAAACTTCTATTTGCACTATGTTCAATGGGCAGTCCCCTTTGCTTTACAGCCTGTAAAGCCAGGTCATAAGGCGCGGCCACCAGATCGCCACGCTCTGTGCAGGGCTCTGTTCTGCTCGAAGTACCACGATGCGCACTTCAGCTTCACAAGGACCAAAGATTCGGAGAGACATCTCGCATGGAAAAGCGTGCCAGGAAAATATACGTCCAGAATGTCCCCCTTGTCATCATCCAGATTGTGGTGCTGTGTTGAATGCCTTAGACATAGGAACGACTAATTCATAGAGTACTTCTTTCCTACCACATTTCACTGAGCGAGAGCTATATGGACAGTTTGGACTCTGCAGAATAGAGTGTAACTAAAGCTGAGAAAGAACTGTGCTCAACACATAGTTGTTCTGCATAGTATATGCACTGAAATGCGGCAAAGCTGAATGCCACGGCTGGCTTTCATTTCTGTCCTGATGTGCTGGTTTCACCTGGGAAGAACAGACTCACAGAGGGGTTTTCTCTATGAGAACTTCCTCTAGGAGTTGATGGGACCAATTGAAGGCTGGTTTGGTTATTGACAGCCTGAGGAACCAATTGGAGAAAATTAGTTCACTCCGTGAACATACATTTTGAAGGAGGTAACCCGGAAAAGAGCTCTCTTTCTTTTCCGGCAGCAGCGCAGGTAACAGGGCCGGGCCTGGCTCCACTGCAGGCCTGTGGGCCTGGCGGGGGGGGCTGGTGGGGCAGGGCCGGGCCGGGCCCCTGTCTGACACAGCCTGAGGTTTGCTGAGATCCTGGCACAGTTCCAGCATTGCAGTCTTGCTTGCTTTCCCTGTGTGAAATCTTAACTCTTTCAATGCTCAGATAAGACTTGCAGACTTTTCAATCCTCCCCGGAGTGAGAAGGGAAAAATAAAAGGGCTAAGTCTCTTTAGATGGAAGGAGAGTGAGGAGATGCTGTGAAAATGGATGAAAAATCCTTTGTAAGATTGTAGGGACAAACTGATGTACTGAATATTCCTATAAACCATGGAGAAAGACATGGGGGGTTGGAGATGTTCCATTTGATAGATTGTTAGTCAAAAAAGCATCTGTGTTGAGAATCCCTTGCCTCGAGGAGAAAAGGGGATCTCATTTTCTGGAGGTGAAGCATGAACAGAAAGAAAGACAGATTAAGAGAATTTTTGGTTTGGTCCACTCTTAAAAGTAAATACCCCATGAGTTTAACGTGGCCTATAAGCACAGCTTTGGGAAAGCTCTAAAGATGAGAGGAGCTTCACGACTTTGCAAGTTTTTCCTGGGCGGATGCAAATCGTGAAAGTGAAGCCACGAGAGGACTGTTTTTTTCCCTTCTTGTGGAGAAGTCTCTATGGCCTGACAAGAGGAAACTTCTCTCTCTGAAGTGAACTGAAAAGGACTATTTAAGTTGGGAACTGACTGAAGTAGTTTTTTCTATGTTTGTTTTGTTGTTATGAAGGTTGGGAGAGGGAAGGAAGGAGTGGGCTGAAGATCTTATTCTGAATTTGCTTTTATTTATCTTTCTTTGTGTAGTTAATAAAGTTTTTTATACCCTTTTAAGTTTAAGGCCTGCCTTGCTCTTTTGCTTCTGGTTCTGTCTCACAACAGAAAATGCGTATATTTAAATTGGCAAGTCAAAACTATAACACCTCATCTGAAAAAAAATGGTGCATAGAGATACTGATAGATATCATCCAGACCACGGCACTCATGAGGGCTGCTCGGCCAGCAGTGCGGTGTTTGATGTATCCCAAAGTGTCTGTGATAGCCCAGTATCTGTCCAGTGCTACAACACAAAGGTGTAGGATGGAGGCTGTGCAGCACGTGATGTCTGATGACAACCAGATGTCACACAGCAACTGGCCAAAGGCCCACATGTGAGTAACAGTGTAAGCAATGCTGACAGGCATCACAAGAACACACTAAAAGATCAGTCACTGATAAATAGCCAATGAGGTAATTTACAGGTGAGTGGAGCTTACTAGTCAGAAAAACTGTAATAACAACAAAAACATTATATGGATTGTTGCCAAATTTATAACAGACAGAAGGATTGACAGTGACATCTTCAACCCTAATAGTATCCTTTCATCCCAAGGCAGTAGTGTTTCAGTCACATTTAATGAGTTATTTGGTGTGCTCTGGAGAGAGAACTGTGCTGAATAGTTTGTACTGAGTCATCCTCTGCTCTTGTTACACTTTCCAGTGTAATCTTTCTGGGATGATAAAGAAAGATGCTTACTGTTTTTGATAAAACAGAATTTTCATACTTTGGTCCAAAACTGAAGAATTATTAACTTGCTGAAAACTTCAGCCAATGCAGTAGATGAGGTACTCTCCCGTGCAATATTTTCCATCACATTACATCAATTACACCATTGTTGAAGCAAAATATCATCTAGACAGGTGTCTGTCTGGTGTACAATAACGAAAACAGTACTATAAATGATTGGAATTTAGGTGATTTTCATCTTGATGAAAGTGAAATAATTATTTATTATCTTTTTTTCAGACCTCCTTTCTGACCAAACTTCTGCAAATTTATATAAATCAATACTGAAGGGTAAGAGACAGAAAAAAATATCCGGGCATGCAGTTGATACCCATTTGCTTGAGACAAAGCTACACTCAGGAGTATTTTTCTCTTCTCTCTAATAGCTGAGTGTCATGGTTTTGGTATTCACAAGGGACACTTCATTAATAGAGTACCTAACATATAAAACAATGCTTCTGGATTCCTTCTTTAAACATAATTTCTGCCAGATTTGCAAATTAAGGCTTCTTGAAGTGTAGACCTCCATTTTCATTTATTTCTCCAGACTATTCAAGTTTTCCCTTCAACAGTTAGTCTTCAAATGCTGAAGTCAGGTATTGGGTAGCAGACCCCAAAGCACTGGCGCACATTACAGCACATTATGAAATCTACAGGCTTTCTATACTTTTATTCGTATTCACCAGGACTGGATTTTCTGAAGTCTTCACAAACCTGAAGGAAACATCCTAAGAGAGATTTCCACCGGGCCTTTCATTCACTTGCACCCATGAGTACTAGAATGTCACTTGTATTATGCCAGTCCAACCCTTCTTGAATGTGGGTCATGAATGCCTTGAAATGTGCTATGAGGGCTACAAGGAGGGATACCAAACTTCTCCAAGGAGATAATCACTAGGCCAGCCTTCTCCCAGACATCAAGGGATCTCCCAAACATCTCTGTCATCACTTGTACCAATTCATGCTATCCAACACAGAATGGGGAATCATACAGTTGGGAATCTGTGGAGCAAGAGGACTATATATTCTATGATTATGATAAAACATTATCACTTTGAAGTCAGACTCACTTAAGTTCCTAAATTCTAATATAAGAAGCAACACTTTTCAGTTTGCTCTGTTTGATATTTTTATATAAAACCAGCTTCTGTGAGTCAAACATTTTCAGACATGCTTTTTCTTGAGGTGCACTTCTCTAGTAAGAAGATATACAAAAATCTCATATTTCACACTAGACTGTTACTTTCTCAATTTTTTTTTCTCTAGGAAGGGAAAATCCCTTCCTCATGACCATTTAGTGGTACAGACCAAAGGTTCAATTTATAAGAATTGTTGAACATAAAAATGTTTAAAAGTGACCAAAGTCCATCAAATCCAGTCACCAGTCTCTGGCAATGGTCCATATATTCAACTCAAACTTTTTGCTATTTTCTGATGCTTTCCAAACACTGATACTTTTTTTGGAGACAAAGACCAGAATCATAAACAGTTGTTAATGTGGATACACCATATATATACTTCAGCATAATGCTGGGGCTTTTTTCCTGTTTATTTCCTAATGATTTCTGAGAAGCATTTTGCTTTTTGAATCATTGCATAGCACTGATCTGAGATTTCTGGAGAGGAGTCCCAATTAATGTCATTCCTAATACCTTGAGTGGTGGTATCAGCTTTTTTTCCCTGTCTGCCCAGTTGTTGCATCTGCGAGCATTGTATACCTTCACCCACTCTTTAACTAAGGCAACTCTGCACAGTCAGTCTTTGTCTTTAAAACTCTAAAGAGCTTTGTTTCATAATCAGATATCATCACCATGTTACTCATGGACTTTCCAGATCACTCAAAATCCCTTGAGAGTCTAAGTAATTGTATCAGTTAGGCTTCATTCACTCCATATGCTTATTGGCTTTTCTTAATTAATTAACATATTGGTGAAGCATATCTTCCTTTACTAATGTCAGAACTTTACTGACGCTTACCTTAATCACCATATTTACTATTGTAAAAATCAGTCTGAAGTTTCCCTCATTTTTTCCTCACGACCGTCACAAGAAGAACCCGAGGACCCCCACCCAGCTTGGCTTTGGACAGTGGTTTTTGGGCCTGGTTGAGGTGGATGCTTGCTAAGTGACTGTTTGCAGGTGTGTTGTGTTCACTGGACTGTGCTGCCATGGTACCAACTGAAGACTGCATGTATTGCATGTCCACACCTGCGTCTCGGAGCACCTCATAATGGTCCACAAATCTCCCCACCTCTTGGCAAAAAGCCACTCGCTTTGGAAAAGGACTATAAAAGAGCGACTCTCTGGAGAAGCTTCTGGGATCCCCCCACAGATGGAGACCCGTCCATTGGCTGGACCACAAGGACGATTGTCTCGTCTGTTGGTAGCTATTGCCCCATCCCCCTCTTTTTCTCTCTATACTTTGTTCCCTATATCTCTCCCCCTCTATTGCAACTGAGTTGTTAGCATTCCATAAAAATGCATTGCTGTTGTTGAATAAACTGATTTTGTCCCCTACTGTTTGCACCTCTGAGATCAAACGAACCATCACGACCCCCATCTGTGTTGGCCGATTGTGACAGCTATGTATAAAACAATACATTGTTTCTTTTAATTTCTGCCAACTGGCTCTAGGTACGGATTTCAGGTAATGGCTCAGCAGTTGCCCAGATCTCTTCGGGAAGTAGCACCACGACGATTGTCTTGCAGCTGGTAGGTGCAAAGAGAGTTGAAGTAGACGTTGACTCCTGCTGCTGCTACCATCACACTTCAAGTTGCATCGAACTCTCTAGCTGAGCACTGTCTGATAGTAAGATTTTGTTGTTGTTGTTGACTTTGGCCAGAAGTAAACGTTCCACTTGCAAATATTCCCCGATTTCTTTTTAGTGAATAAAGATGCTGAAGGTAATCTTGTTTCTCTAAGGAAATTCCTTAGACAATTTTTTTAAATCATAAAATTATTTTTTTTACCATACCTTTAACTCTCTGACACAGTAATGGCTCACTTCAGTACTCTCACTTTTAGGGACTAAGAAATCTCTTACCTGAAATAATGGGTTGATTGCACATCCCATACAGAAGAAAATCTAAACTAAAAGCACCAAACAGACTTAGTAGCACTATTAAAGACTGTTAAATGGCGGTATTACCTAAAAACCAAAGCCAAATCCAACCTTGATGTCAGTTGTCACTGAAAAAAGAGATATCAATCCTTTCCCATACACTGTATCAGCTTTTTCTCTGTGTTACAACATTTTAGCAATATGAACTAAAGTGACTGCACCTCACCTACCTGTCCACGAACAAGCCTATTAGTAGTCCTATTGCTTCCACCAGCTTGCAGTTACTGTGTGGAAAAAACAAACTTATGTGAAACATGATGTTTGCAGCCCAATGAACTAGTCTAGAGTTCAAATGAATTCTAAATCTTCAATACACCGGTAAATAAGAACCCAATATTATGAGAAAGTCATACTGAAACCACACATATACTTAGTTACTGAATTAATTTTTATAAATACATTATGTTTTCCTCTAATATGATCACCAAAGGAAAAGTACCAGTGTTCCACAAGAATGCTCCAAGTCAGTACATTATTATTTCTCATGTACTCAGGAAGAGTTACCATCTAGACAAAATGAACATATTCCCAATAATTTAGTATTTCAATGAAGTTTATTTTACTCAACAAAAGAAGGATGAATACAGGTATTTTCCTGTTGAAAAGAAAAATTAATTTTGCCTAAATTACAGATACTGAAGAAGAATAATATTAAACGACAAGCAGTCATTAAATTATGTCAAGTACAAAGTCATACGAATAACTGCCTGTTAAGGAAAGCAGAACACAAACACACAGACATTACATATCCTGAAACACCAGAGCCCCGGAGTAGGAAGTGGCCATCCACCATGTTTCCTGAGCACAGAGGGACATGAAGCCCAGGCAAGGATGCACACAGTCTCTGGAGCATAAGGAGCACCAGGCACAACCTGGGTTTCAAGGAATACATTTAGTGTTAGCAGCTCATAGTGCAGCTACAGTGCCAGCTGCAGGTTGAACTCTTGTAGATGACAGCTTCTTCAAGACATTTGAGAGTCTGTCTTGGTTTAATTTTGACTTTCCCGGCCAACGCACCAAATTAATGTCTTGAGTTTGTGTTGCCAATTTGAATAAACTTATTTTTCTTGTTGTGAGACAGAACCAGGAGCAAAAGAGCAAGGCAGGCCTAAAACTTGAGAGAGTATAAAAGAAGATTTATTAACTACACAAACAAAAAGAGAGGAAAAAAAAATTCAGAATAAGATTTTTTTTAGATCACTCCCTCCCTCCCTCTCCCAATCTTCATAACAACAAAACAAACATATAACAAATACTTCGGTCAGTGCCCAATTTAGTCTTTCTCAGTTCACTCCTGGAGAGAGAAGCTTCTTCTTGTTGAAGTTGTAGGGATTTTTCCCACAAGGAAAAAAACAGTTCTCTTGTGGTTTTATCTTTCACGATTTGCATCCGCCCGGGAACCTGCAACCGTGACGCTCCTCCCAACTCTACAGCCGTCCCAAAGCTGTAGATGTGGGCCATGTCTGTCTCATGGGGTATTACTTTTAAGAATGAAATGTTCAACAACAAAGATCCTCTCTGTCTCCTTTTTCTCTGCTCAGGCTTTATCTTCAGAAAACCAAAATCCCCTTCTTTTCTCAGGACAGAAATTCTCAACACAGGTGCTCTTTAGTCAAATCATCTATTAAATGGAACATTTCCATCCCCCCATGTCTCTTTCCATGGTTTATAGGAATATTCAGTACATCAGTTCATTCCTACAATTTCACAAAAAGATTTTCAGCCATTTCAGCATCTTCTCATTCTCCTTCCATCTTAAAAACTTAGCTCTTACATCACTGACTTCAGAAATCTTCTTATTCCCTTTCATATTCAAAGGAAAGGCTGGAGGCTTTGCAAATCTTATCTGAGCACTAAAGAGTTAAGGTTTAACACAACTACAAGAGTTGGGCCAGGCTCAGGCCGTGCTGGGGGTGGCTGAGGTGTCACTCAGCCTTTCTGGGGCTGGGCTGCAGCCCCACACTGCTCATGGCCACCCGGGCAGGCCCGGCCCGTCCAACAGCAGCAAGAGTCGGCCTCCCCCCCCACGCCAGAGCCGCAGGCCCGTGGAGGAGGAAGCCGTGAAGGTCTTATCACACAACTTTTTCTCCCTCCGGCCATCGGGTCCCCCTCGTTGGCAAACGGGGCCCAAGCGGGGTTGATGTTACCTGCTCAGCCGCCAGAAGACAAAGAGCCTCAGTTCTGGATTACCTTCCTCAAAATGTGTGTTCACGGAGCGAACTAACTTTCTCTAATTGGCTGTTGCAGGTATCCCAACCCCCACAGAGGAAATTCCCTTAGGAAGAATCTCTTCTGAGTTTCTTCTTCCTAAGTCAACCTATCACATAGTCTGACATGGGAAACCTTGTATTGATCTGGTGAGAAAACCAGGTGTGACTGTGAGTGTGGGGGTGAGGCTGTGAAAGGGTTTTGGTGATGCAAGTATGACTGCCAGAGTGGCTCCTCAATGGTCAGACAGCGAAGTTTCCTTAACGCTGGTGATGTTATCACCTCTAGATAAGACAACATTATTGCCTCTTGTGTGTGCCAATCACAGACTGTGTTGGTGAGTGTTGTGGCAGTGCAGCTTACAGGCAGCTGAGTGCATGGTGCAAGAGGCACTGGCATTCGACATCCCCACTGGGTGGGGCATGGCAGGTTTGTCACCCTGGTTTGTCACCATGTTTGTCACACTTCACAGGACAGGAATCGTCTCAGGTGCCGTGGCTGCATCACCACTGTACTTGGTCCATCTTTCCTTGGACTTCAACCTAGTGCTGTTGGCCATGGTCATTGAGTATTGTTTTCACTTCAAATACCTGAAATAACTTGAAAGTGATGTCACAACTGTATTGGTTTAGGGCAAATTTGGGAGAAAACCTCCAACGGGTCCCCCCAGGAAGCAAATCCAAGGGGCTTCTCCCCAGATTTCGGGAAGAAATTTCCCCAGAGAGAAGTGGAGGAAACTCATTTATTCAACAGGTAAAGCACTGCCCAGCACAAAAAATGAACAATATCAAACAATAAAGCCTCTCGCCACTCCAAAGAGATGACAAATTCAGAAAGTCTCTCTCCTGTTGGTGGTAGCTCGGCTCAGTCTGTTATCAGTCCCTCTGGCACTGGCCTGGTGGGCCACAGGTGTAAGCTCCTGGTGCTCCCCCCAGGTCTCCAGTCCAGAGCAGGTTCAAAAAAGGAAAAATAAAACTGTCCAAGGAACTTCTCTGCTTCAGTTAGTCAAAAACTAACTAAAAGTAAAGGAGACTTTCTCCCACTATCCACCACAGCGACATAGTCCAGGAGACGAAGCAATGAAACTCCTATCTCTATGTTTGAAAACAACTGCCTCAGACATTCCAGTGCTTCTCCTTCTCCCCTCTTCACTCTTAGATCCAACCTTAAAGGTACAAAACTTACTTCTGGGCTAAACAGATGAATAGGGATACAAGTCAACATGACAAAAGTCACCCCAGGACAACAACCAATCATAGTGAGGTTTTCACAGCACAGCATGCCATGCTGGAGCAAGCCACAGTGTTGTGTTGGATGCTTGCAGGCAGGAGTTGCTAAAGAGCAGTCAGGAACAGCACAGAGCAAAGGAGAGCACAGCTTGGTTTATCCAAGGAGGGAACAGTTGTCCGTGGTTTATCCATGCTGCTGCCACCCAGTAGTTTATCGACACTACTGTGTCTGTGGCTTGTCCACACTACTCCATTGAATGGCATGCTGGTTCGGCAGTCAAGGGAAGATGGGGCAAATGCAAATTGAGATGGGGCCAATCCATGCAATGAGGATGAGAAAACAAAGCACAGAGTGACTTTGAGCTGAAGACATGTGACGATGATGATACAAACACAGCAAGCAGCACTTCACCACAGGAAGGAGAATTTAAATGGAGAGACAGTTCCAGACACTGCAGTGCTATTTAATTTAGCAGAAATCATAGCTCAGGGTCTGGAAGGTGAAGCAAGGTCATGTACTATGTGAAAAAAGAACAAACTTAAGCTGCGTTGGTAACACTGGCACCGCTTCACAGTTCAAGGTCCTCCCTTAAAACCAGGTACTTACTTAGAAAAGGTGCTTTGTGTTTCAGCTCTGCTGTTCAACTCACAGACCAAGGGTAAGGTGGCAGGGGTGGGTCTCTTTGAGGAAAAACTGAGCGTGTGCCAAGGCAGGTACACTGGCAGGCAGGAGAAGGCTAGGTAGTTCCAGGAGCTCCTCAGTGTCATCACTAACAAAGGTTCAGTCATCACTGACCAAGTGTCATTATGTGGGCTCTGGAGCTTCAGAGATCACCCAGGTGATCAGTTCCAAGGGTAAACAAAGCTCCAACACATTTCCATCCCTTCTGGAGCACAGTAAGTACTGGAGAGTGAGGCAATTCCTGCAGACCGTAATTTCATGGTGCAGCTGACACAATTTCTGAGGATGCATGCTGGGCTGCAAGGAGAAGGCTTCAATGCATCCCTGCAGAGCTAGGCTGGAATGGAATAAACAATGTGTACAAAATAGGTATGTTCAAATAAAAATACAGAATTAACTCTTTCACTAAACAGAACAGAAAAAAAAAATTAGATAAAATATCCTTTAGGAAGTTGCACATTTCCTTTACATTCACTCTGAAGTTAGAGGAATTAGGGAATTCATTTTCTTCTCTTGAAGCTGGAGAATTGCAAAGGGACGGCTGAGAACAGAGCTAATGTTCAGCAAACTGCTGAAAATTCATTTTGTAACTGATTCTTACTTTTCATTTAAATGTAGAATGCACTACACAGACCAGGTCTAGTCTGTCATGCTGAAAGCTTCACTGCTTCCAGTGACAGCCAACAGCAGGTGGCCAGAAGGCAGGACAGGAGGTGCCACTCTAGCCAAGAGGAACCCCTATGAAAGCCCATTTCAGAGCAGACCTTAAAAGAGGCAGCAAGTTTTGAATAAGTTCATGTGAATTTGGGACAATTTATTCAAGCATGCATCATAGAGTAGGTATGGAGCCCAACCTAAAGACAAAAGCACTGTTCAAACAACATGAAATGCATTCAGTATTAGCTCTAGGAATCTGCTGATCTAGAGATCACAACCAAACATGGATGCAGCTCCTGGGAGAAAGCCAAGCAATGCTACAGTGTATTGCACTGAAAAATCAAAGGTACGGTCTATGTAAATTCAATTTGCATCTGAATTTCTGGTAAAGCCCAGCAGCAGCTAGGCCCTTTTAGGGCTGAGCATCTCTTTTCACAGCCAGTGAAGGGAGCTGGTAGAGAAGAGAAGAGTTCATGATTCTGGGAAATTATACTGGACTCTGAGAGTGTTCGCTCCAGCATGGCACATGCAGCATGGCTAGATGCCTAATCTGCCAAGATCATTGTGAATACTTCCAAATAAATCAGGCATTCCTATTTAGTTCATTTGATATAAAGAATTGCATTCTATATGAGAAACTATATGAAAAACATTTCTCATTCCAAAAAAGCAACTATAATAATTAGCAAGCAAATATTAGCAATGTTTAACACCCTTAGTCTCCTCTCCCTACCTTCTATTTTTGCTAATCTTTTAAAAAATTATTGGTAGTTTTCCTCTCTTATCTTTATTTACACATGACCAATATATATTAGCTATCTAACCCATTCTTAATTACCAAGTTACAATTGCTGTTACATGTTTTATAACTTACAAATTAAATATTACTTATCAAAGAGAAAGTCTAGGATTTTATAGGCAGTGATTCTCGTAAATACTACATTGCAAAACCGGACTCTACAATATGTTACCAATAAGATCTTTGGAGGGACTGCAGGCTGGAGCACTTAGCTCTCAGCCATAAAGTCTCCGATGACAAACGTCCACCATGCAAAATCTCTAATCAACTTTTTCCTTCTCACATTTTTTCTCCCATTATTACTCAGTGTCATGTAATCAGTGAAATTTTAAGGGTCAAAGAAATACAGTGGGGTGTGAGATTGTAACGTCAGCCGTGTCCAAGAGCCGGCAAGGTGGGATTAAGAACAAGCAGAATGACACTGACTCTGATCTGGCTGAGCTAAGTGATATAGAAACTCTGATCTGACACATCTGAGTGGTTGTTCATCTCAGACCTCATCTGTGGAAATTACTTTCCCTTCCTGGTCTAGAAGCCGTTTAGTGGTGCCTATTTATTTCCAGTTTCTGAGAAGGACACCTGGAGTGACACCAGCATGTAAAAGCCTAACTTGAGCTTATCAGCCTTTCTGGATGTCTGGAAGCAATCACAGATGGGAGGAGAGCTGGAGCAGGGACAGGAGATCAGGTGGGTTCTCCCAAGTATCTGCCCTAAAGTACTAGAAAGAATAGAGAATCACTGTTATAAATTCCTACATAGTATCTCTAGACTGTTTTCTGGCCTGGGAACTTTTCCAAGTGTTTAATGATGTTTTAATAACGTCATTCTTAAGTCAACAAAATGTTGCCATACATCCAATGGAGCAACAGAAATAAGGCTCATACTGAGTGCTCTGGAAAAGGCCAGCACATTCAGAGTCCTCAGCGCTCAAACCTTCAAATTTTTAAAATCAGCTGGAATCTATAATGATAAATTCCAGAGAGACCTGCAAACACGAAAAAGTTCTTGCAAGTCTCATCCACATCATCCTTGCTTGGTTAAGCACTACACCGTGCTCAGTGGCTCTTCTGTGATGCCTTACTGAATTCAGTTTCAGTATGCACAGCCACTCCTATGGGACTTTATCCACGAGCACTGTAGCCCATTAAGATTTTTAAGGGCTATCCATATCCAAGTTTCACTTTTATGCTTTGGCCATTATTTGCCTGACCTTTTTGTCCAGTCCTGAAGTCAAAAACTACATTTTTTCTAGAAAGGATCTCAAAGGGTTGCCTGCAAAGGGATTTGAAAAGCATTGGCTGGTGTGCTAATACTTGTAATGACATAAGCAGGTATGCCTTAAAAATACAAGCTGTGATAATAGATCATAATTGGTCTGCCTAACTATAGAAACTGAATTATAGTGTAGTCCTGATTGCCAAAATGAAGATGAGAGTGCTTCATAAGGCTGCTCCTGCAGCACTTCCTCACCTAATAATTGAATGAACTTTTGCAGAAACATGATTTACGCTTCTTCGAAGTAGCATCCTGGATCCTTTTACCTTTTCTCCTGAAGGCAATTCAGGAAAAAACTGGGAACAGTTTCTGCCTGAATGACCCTCAGCTGCAGGAGGTGTGTGAAGGAACATACAGGGATTTTACCTAGACACAAGCAGGATTAAACCTATTCTACCATACAAATCTACAATTCTGCCAGCAATTGTACTGTAATAGGAATGAGGAGGCCCAGTAGCAGGTATTCTCAGTAACGATTTGGGTGATAAAGTAGATGATGTGTTTCAGCCAGGGGAATGACACTGCTGGAGTTCCAGTCCAGAACACTAGGAAAGAGGATCAAGGTTGAAGCTGAGTTTAAGGATAATTGCAAGGTGGTTAGTTCAGGTAGAAATGAGCACTTCCCCTTTTGTGTGATGGAGAATAACCAGCTGAGCAAAAGCTCTGCACAGTTTTGGATAAATGTGCACTGTCACTGGCAGAGCCAGGGACATTGTACCAGGGCAAAACAGCAAACACCTTGGCAAGTGTGTAACTGGAATAAGGCCTTGAATAGATCTTGTTCTGTTCAATTTGGACAAGACCAAATGACAGCCTGGCATTCAGCTTTGGGCACTGCTCCCAAGAAGATACAGACCACACAGCAAGATATCAGAAGACAGCAGCAGGAATCATCAGAAAAGAAAATGTATGGGAATAAACTGCATGGGAATAAGGATGTCAGGGTTGAAAAAGCACAGCTGAGGAAGATGTTCAACAGTCTTTCTTTGCATGAAAGCCTGCAGAAAAGGAAGGAATACTCTGTTCCCTGTGGCTGTGAGCGTCCTGGTTTAGGACAAACTTTGGAGGAAACCTCTGAATGAGGTCCTTCTGGAAAAAAAAAGAAAAATATATAGGCATCATACAGTCACCCCAAGACATTGAGTAATATCACTGAAAGGAGAAGGACTTAACTACAGCAAGGAAGACTGAGCTATTAGGAAAACTTTGCATACAGTAAGATCAGTGAAACAAAATATTGCTTAGAGACACTGCAATACCTCAATCACGGAAAGTCACAAGGACAGGTCACATAATCTTTTTGGAGCGGGATTTCCTAAAACCAATGAAGCACCAACTGAAGTAGTCTACCCCATGTAAAATGGTGAAAACCAGATTTTCTGGACTGCAATACAGTGTAAAATTAGTAAATTCAAAAGGAACAAAAACCCAAGAAAGTGAAAGTTTTGCAGAACATGGCAGTTCAGGTCTGGACGTAACTCAAGACTCAGCTTTGTGGTGTTGTAGTGTTTTCCATACGGGCAGAGGAACACAGAGAATTTTTATACCTTTCAAGAAAGTGCTGGTAAGGAATGACACAGTTGCTTATAACAACTGTCAGTGGATGTCATTGGGGCATCGGAGCCTTCAGGCTCCACCATTTCAGAGCATGAACACAAGGAACAAGTTCCTTTTGACTGTGGCTGGTAAGAGGACCAAATGTCCTCCAGACAAACTAGGTCATCAGCCCCATAAGCATTTCCCATGTGCTTCTGGCTTTCTAAGCACTGCTCCCTAATAGTTCTCTACCCTCCTCTCTTGCTGCAATCTGACCTTTGGCATACTCCTCTACTTTCAGCTTTACTTTCTAGGATGCAGACACAGCGTTCCCTGACATACAATGCTTTTTCCTTTGGTCCCTGAATGTTTGAAAGGCACTCTGAAGAATCACTCTGCTATATGACTCTTCAGTTCTAGCAGCCCCAGCAAAGAAGCTGATTAGCTGTTGCTCTGACCCCAGTCTTTATGGCCAGGATGCTGTTTTTTTCTGTGGATTTGAATCAGCTTCCCTAGCCATCCTAATTTCATGGAGCTCAGGGATTGGAAAATATCTAAATTCATTCTGCACAATATCTCTCTGCTCATATAGGGCCAGAATGGACAGGCTAGGAGTAGGCAGGAAGGAGTATCCTGGCTGAGTTCTGCACTGCACCTCTGGGGATCACAGAGGGTAGATTATGGCTTGTGTGCACACTGAGGGATGTCTTCTTTTACATGTACCTTTGAGTGCATCACCAAGGGACAGAAAAAATTCTTTACTCAGAAGACAGAGGAAAATCCAGACAATTTTTATGCTAACTTTGGAGATCTGGATGGTTTCCTTCAGAGCTCTATGTAGGACAGTTCTATCCAGGCAAACAGCTGCAAGACAACTGTATTGTCCTGCTGTGCACATGTCAGAAGGGAGTGATACTTGTCATTAAGTTTTGTTATGCATTTAGGTGAGGGTAGTACACTGCCATCATGCATACTCTGTTAAGACACCGAAAGTAGGAGAGACAGGTACGATCTCTTCACTCTCATGACCAGTGATAGGACTCAAGGAAATGGAGTGAACCTGAGTCAGGGGAGGTTTAGATTGGATATCGCAGAAAGGATTTTCACCCAGAGGATGTCTGGGCACCGGAACAGGCTCCTCAGGAAAGTGGTCACAGTGCCAAGCCTGACAGAGTTCAAGAAGCATCTGAAAAACATTCTCAGGGATATGGTGTGATTTTTGGGGTGTCATCTGCAGGGCCAGGGTTTGGAGTTGATCCTGATCTGTCCCTCACTCACGAGATTCTATGATTCTATGACGGGATCATGGTCAATTTGTCTACTGGGTCAGTAGCACTGACTGATCCATAGAACAGGCACTCACCTTCCTGATTTACAGCATTCTTAACTATCTGCTTGTCTTTCAGGGCACTGTCATCCTCATTCAATGCTGTGTCTGAAAAGAGATCAGAAAGCAACTGCAGTCTCTCAGGACCACACTCCATTGCTTCTGCCCTTCCCCAGCACAGGCCACTGCTCTATGCAGCCCAGGGCTCAGAGCACATCTTCTCTGCAAGTTAAGTACTGCTATGCTATCAGCAAAAGCCCAACTTGAAATTGCTTTGTACATACATTTCAGAGAACATCAGAGCCTTGCCTACTGTTTCCCATCCATATAGCAGTAACTGCCTGTTCCCCAGGTGCTGCTGGATATACTGCACAGAGGTGCACTAACTCCCTTTCCTGATGCTCCCATTCTATTCTGCAACAAAATAAAGGATTTGATTTTCTGCATCTCATATCCAAACTGACAACCTTTATCTATGGACCTCATTTCTCTCTTGCCTGAACTGTGTGTTTCCCTCCTTTCTACTTTAGGATGGGCATAAAATAAGCCTCCTTTTCCTATACCCATGTCTATGTATATGGAAATAGTTGCACAAGTGATAACACAATCCCACACTGCACCACACCTTCACCATCAGCTACACAATCTCTATTTTTTCACATGAAAGAAAGCTGTTCTATACCCATTACAATACATGCAAGAAGAATAAGAAGCAAACCCCAGGGGCTTCTGAATTTTTCTGAGTTTCCTTTCCTTATTGTCAGCATTGGTGATTTTTTTCATTTATAGGAAAGACTTCTGACTTTTTCAACCCCTTATAATCAGCCACTTGTGGAAAACGGTGGAAGAGTTAATGAGTGAATAAATCACTAATGCAACAGACTGGGGAAAAAATTACTTTTTTTCTCGAGTTGAACAATAATGTTCAACTTCACTAGCCCTTTGGAGTAAAAAGAACTTCAAGAAAAAATACAGGTCCCAGAACTCCCTTGAAATTTACACTAACTGGACAAAGGAAAAAAACTGGACTTTTGCTTAACTGCCTGATGAATGCAGTCAAAATACTTTCCTAAAGCATAAAGAAAATGGAAGATACAGCAGGCTTTGTTCCTTAGAGAAGCATATTTCTAGATGGAATATTTCCCAAATATGAATTTTGCAAGCTGGTAAGCATTCCATCTCTAAATTGGTGTGCTGAGGCTCTTATATTTCCTCCATGCTTTGTTATTTCTCCCAGAGATGATAAAATGGTTTGCAAATCCAGCAAAAGCAGCATCATTCTCATCATATCAAGAGGGAAAGTGAAGCCCCAAGAAAGTGTTTGCTCTGTGCTGTTTAGCAAGCACCACCTCCAGGTCTTTCTGATTTCTCTTCTAGTGATCTACTCATCAACATTTACTGTTCCTAAGGCAATAGGTTCTTCTAGGCCAACAGGGGAGTGGTAAACTCTATACTCAGAACATACTAATATGGCTTGGACTACAAAAGGTAATGTGTAAAATTACTTTCCCCCTTCGTGTTCCTCTGTTTTAGGGCTCCATTTCACTTGTTACCTTCTTCAGGCTCTTCATCCTCATCATGAAGAGCGTGTGAAAATGCGGCTGCAAGAAAACAGAAATCCTTTTCCAGAAACGTATATGGAGGTAGAAAAATAGTCTGCAAAATATGCAACTCAGCCTTAAAGTGACAACTTCATTGTAACACTTTTAACAGATATTCCTGAGAACCACTATGTTATGCCACTTTAAGGACTCAAAATTAATTTCAATTTCCCTCCAGCAACCACTTAAGGTTGCAGATCATGACTAACATTTTTTATATTTATGCCTACAGCTTTACAAAAGTCTTGCTGATGCAGATTTATTGTTAAAGCTGCACAGATCTGCCATAAAAAGACAGAGATAGCTGAGAGGAGAATCTGCACCTCTTTTTTTTGCTTCATCTTTGTGTTGCATTAACATGAACTTTAAACCTTCCTCTTTGCAGGCCTTAAATAATCTTTAATAGAAACATTCTAAAGCAAACTTCAGTGCAGTACCAAAATAAGGGGTTTTGGGAGGTTTATTTTTTTTCCCTACCCATCCTTCTCCTTTTCTCACTTTCAGATTCATCCATAGTCTCAACTTTTGCAGTCTCTGAACCATGGGCTAGAACCACAGCTTTAACAAATGTAAGGTACCAGACTGAGCACCCTACATGAAGGCACTGTAAACACCAGAACACTCCAAGAGGGCACTGAGCCTGCCACCTGAGGGCTGGAGCTTTGGCCATTCCCAACTGAAACACTGATTGGTCTGGTAACAGAACATTTTTTAAGAGTCTTCCCTGCTTTCCCCAGACTGCCTTGGGTTTTAATTTTGTTTGGTTCCTAAAAACAGACTACAGTCCTGGAAACAAGGCTCATATATGTTAAAGCTAGAACATGGTAGCTAAATTCATCCTTAGGAAGAATAAAGGAGTTGTCCCCTTCCTTAGCTGCTCACTATATAGACTCATTTCCACATCCCAACACACAAGAAGCAGAAAACAGTGCAATCTTGCTGCAAATTAAGGAAGTAAAAAAAACCCCAAAAGCACCCCAACAAAACACTAAGGAAAAACAAAACAAAACAAAACAAAAAATCCACAACCAACCAAATTAAAAAAAAAAAAAAAAACAATAAAACTCAGTGCAGATTAGAATGGACAGCAGAAGCCCAGGCAGAGATCTGGACAGGAAGAGAGGAACGAAAAATTGCCCTACAGTGTGCACTTTTCCAGCCCTCCTCCTGAAGCCAGTCCCAATTCTCCACTACTAGAAAGGTAATTTACCTCCAAAGACAGCTGTTGACCAGGAAAATCTCAGGCCATTCACTGTCAGTAATTTTGTCAGCCCCACTAACACATTCTTTAAGTGCAGGTTCCTATAATCATCCCATATTGGACCTCAACTGAGATTTTGAGTCTACATGTGCACACTTTGAAAACCCATTCAAAAGCTCAGACCGTGCAGAAAAAGGGAAAGAACAAATCAGACTCCCTGCTCCAACCAAGAGCAGGTGTTTAGAAACATTAATACCCTAATACCGGTTTCTTACCTCCCTCTGAGTTAGGCTGTTGTTGGCTGTTCCCAGAGAAAAGTTTCTCATGTTCTCCTATAAAGAAATGTATTTGTTTTAGGAAGTATGTATTACTGACCTAGAAAAAATAACTACACTCAATGAAAACATACTCCTTTATATCTCCAATGAAAGACTATACTGACACAGGAAAAAAAATGACAAGCTCAGACCAAGCATAAATGTAATTTCCACACATTTGTGACATCATCTTACTTGAGCCATTCACTGGACTGTTATCGTGAGCAGTCCTTCTTCCTGTTCCCAGTTTATTTATACCTACACACAAATACAGTATTTGGAGAAATTACTCAGAAATAAAGTTTTGTTCCTTTGGAAACTTGTTGACAGCTTCCAACCATTCCATCCCCCTCTTCAACCCTCAAACAAAAAAAAAATAGACTTCACTGAGAACATGCAATTGAATACTTGACTTCGAGGAAGCACAAAGAATGAAATACTGTTTTGAGGGAAAGACAGTCAGTGAGAGATCAATAGAATGGGTCTCCTGCAACAGCAAGTCAGAGCACATGTAACCAAATCTAAGGTGGAGCTTAACAATTTATGATTATATATATGTCTTATACTTAAAACAGCAAACTTTGCTCTTTGCCGAAGTTATATACCTGTGCAACGCTTATCCTACCAAGGTGTAACAGGTTTATTTTCTTGCATGTTCAAACCCTCACTGTTTCAGGGGAAGTAACTGAATTGCTTTGATTCTAACTGATGGTCAGATTTGAGTGACATTCTTTGTCTGTTAACACCAAGAGCAGTGTTGTTTAACACCACCAACATGAACAAGAACACAGAAGGCACTTTCACAAAGTTTGCAGATGACATCGAACTGGGAAGAGTAGGGAACATGCTGGAAAGCAGGGTTGCCAATTCAACAATTCAGAGAAACGTGCTGGCAGAAAAGATGTGATATTCAAAGGCAAACAAAGTCCTGAATCTCTTGAAGTCATCCCATGGACCACTACAGGCTAGGCTCTGCCTGGCTAGGAAACTGCTCTGCAGGAAAGGACCTGAAAGCATGAACAAGCTGAACATTACCCAGAAAAATGTGCCCTTGCAGAAGTCTTCCAAATACTGGGTTGTGTTAGCAGAAGTGCAGTCAGCCCAGCAACACAAATAATTCCTCCTCTCTATTCAATATTTAGGACCCTACATGTGGAGTACTCTCTCTAGTTTTAGTCTCCCTGTTAATGTAAAAACACCATCTTTCTGAAGTTAGTCCAGCAAATGTCCATCACGATGTCTAGGAACAGGAGCTGTGCAAGGAGGTGCTGAGAGAATTTGGTTTGTTCAGCCTCAAGAAGAAGGATAAGAGGATGATGGCTAACTGCAGTCTACAACTACAGAAAACAAAGAAAACTCCTCTCAGAAGTACAGAACAAAAAACCAAAAGCAAATGCCTACCAATTGCCAAAGGGCAATCCCTAACAGAAATAAGGAGAATATCCTTCTCTAAAGGAGTGATTCAGCACTTAAACACGTGCTGTAACAGGCTGGGAAATTCCCACCCTTGGAACTATTCAAAGTTTGACTGGACAAGGCCTTAAGCAACCTGATCTAGCTGTGAAGCTAGTCATGCTTTGGGCAGCAAGCTGGACTAAACTTCCAGAGATGTCTTCCCACCTAGTTTATTTTATGATTCCATGCCAACAGTAAATGGACAATGAACAGGAAAGCAAAAGTTCGACATACAATATGTATCTATTTATGTCCTAATCAGAATACCATCAATTAGTCCTTCCCAGTTGGGAAATACATCCGGCACTCTTCACCCTGAAGCCACCTCCAAGTGGTGGCCCCATCTGGAAATCAACATGAATCTTCCATGCAGATCATGCATAGGATGAAGAAATGCATTCCTGTTTGGGACTCTCTCCAACACAAAGAGAAAAGATGGTGTGCCCCTCTTTTTCAATTCAGAAGACAATTTATCACAGAAATCCAAAAATGTGGCAGAAAAAGATAGACAGTGATAGCCTATAATTACTATTTCTGATTAAACTGTCAGATTTACAAAAATCAGTGTAGGAATGGATTTAAAAACAGAACTCCAAGATGATGGCAATACAGGATGCCAAGAGGCACAGAAGGTCCCATTTATCAGTTGACCTCATTGAGTTGTCAGATTAGACCCGGCATATGATATTCACATCTGGTATAAGCCTGTCCCAACAGTAAATGTGACCTTGAGAGTAGCTTTATTATGCCCTCAAAAAAGGCTGTGAAAACACAGATAGGAATAGGAGAGGCTACAAATACTTGGTAAGTAGAAGCACACTAAATAAAACACCCAGTCGGAAGAAGTATGCAAATGCAAACTGCTATGTTTCCTAAGACTTGGAGCCCAGTGTCAGAATGCGAGAAAGTTCAGTACATTATTTCCTTCAAATCTATTCATTTTTGCCTAAATTAGACTTGCTTCTTCTACTGTTTCTACAAAACACTTAATGGTCAGAAATTTTCATACATTCTACAGAACTTTAGATGAATATAATCTGGAAGCACATAAGGCTCAGTTAGGAAGTCTTATACATACCTTTCCTGCACAGGGATACTAGGATTCCTACTAGGATAACTGCAGTAAGGACAAAAGCTCCAATAAGAGCACCCCTGTTTCTGTCTCCTTTAAAAAAAAAAATTAAAAATAAAGACTGGTTAGTTAAAAAGCAACTGTGTGATACACTAGTTCGGTAGAGATACAGCCTCAAATATGTTTTATAGCTGTTTTTTTAAAAAGTAACTTCAATAAATTAATGCACCAGAATCAGTTATTAGCAGAACTCTAAGCCACCTCCAGGACAGTTACATGTTAAGTATCTCATTTCAGTGAAGGCACATCAGCACTTGAAACGCAACGACTATTCCAGTTCTTGGCCTATGAAACGCTGAGCCAGATTTCAAACTAACGAAATTTCAGCAAATACTTGTATCGGGTTTGCACTGCAAGGTTTCGATGGTTTATGTGAGAAGATGCCAGAAGCTGCCTCCATGTCAGATAGAGCTAATAGCAGGTGGCTCCAAGCTGGATCTGCTGCTGGCCACGGCAGAGCCCAAGCAGCAGCAGTGGTAGTATTTCTGGGATACCACTTCTAAGAAAGGGGAAAAACTGCCAGACAAGAACAACAAGGGTGAGAAGGGAGTGACAGCACGTGACAGAATCTGCCCAACAGATACCAATGTCAGTGCAGAAGGAGGTGGAGGTGCTGGAGCAGAGATTCCCCTGCAGCCAGTGCAGGACCCCACATCAGAACAGGCGCATGCCCAAAGCAGGCTGTGACCCCATGGGAAGCCCACACTGGAGCAGAGTCCTGGCAGGACCTGTGGCCCTGTGGAGAGAGGAGCCCACGCTGGAGTAGGTCTGCTGGCAGGACTTGTGACCCCGTGGGAAACCCACACTGGAGCAGTTCAGGAAGAACTGTGGCCTGTGGGAATGACTCATGTTGGCGAAGTTCTTGGAAGCTCACCCCTGTGGGAGGGACCCCACACTGGTTCAGGAGAGAGTGTGAGGAAGGACAATGTGTAATGAGCTGATTGCTGACTGCAAGCCCCAATCCCTGTCCCCCTGTGCTACTCAGGGAGACCACGTAATGATATCGGGAGCCAATCTGAGGCTTGGAAGAAAGGAGGGGTTTCAGGGGGGTGTTTTAGACTTGCTCGTTTCTCATTATCCTGCTCTGACTTTAATTGGCAATAAATTAAACCCATTTTCCGAAAATCGAGTCTGTTTTGCCTCTGACAGTAATGGATGAATGACCTCTCTCTGTCCTTACCTCAACTCATGAGGCTTTTGTCATATTTTCTCCTCCCTACCCTACAGAGGAGGGGGAGTGACAGATCAGCTGAAGGGCATCTGGCAGCCAGCCAAGGTCAACCCACCAAATGCCTCATTTCTAGCAGTTTCTCCAGTAAAGGAAGAATCCTATACTAGTAAACCATGACAACTACTTTTCACAGAAATGAAAAATTTTGCTAGTTAGGGACCACCTTACGTACCCTAGAAACCAGGCATATTCTCACTGTGTTTAAAAAATCCCTAAAAACTCAAGCCTCAAGCTGAAGGCTGACCCAAAGCAATAAGCAGAAGGAGGAAAACTCTCTTTTTTACTTTATACCTCTCTATGAAAGAGGAAGGCAGTATGTTCATTGATTCATTCATATGCTAGATGAAAAATTCTTTTATCTTATGGATGCTAGATGAAATGGCTGAATAGTTTCACTCCAATCCATGGAGAGCAGTACAAAGAGGACAACTTGTTAGCATTAATAAGGACAGAAGGTTCAGAAGAGATCTTCTAAGATCTTCTAATCTTTATTATTACTCAATCAAGTCACACCTAAAGTTTTTATTCTGTGGAGATCGCTGCAAAATGTATCTTTCCAGGAGGATCAAACTGTCAGCCTCATACTTTTCACAAACTTTATACACACTTCTAGCAGACAAATCACTTCTGATGCTTTTTACTCTTTGAATTCAACTTCCTGGGAACTCAGGAGAAATCTCAAAGGCCATGCTGCTTCCCAAACAAGTCTCTCAGACCTGTGTTTGCAACATGACACATTTATTACCTTTTTCTTCTGGAAGGCACTGAATCAAAGAGATTTCAGAACTCCTTTCCGTTTGTGAAAATTTAATGATACATGTAGCTTTAGTGGTAGTACCAACATGCTTCAAAGGGATGGAAAGCTCCTGGTTCTGGTAACTGTGTGGCTTGTTACTGAGCTTCCAAGCATAACTCAGAGACCCCTGGAAATGTGCTGTACAGTTTAATATAAGTTCATCATCACTGGTGCTGCAATTTATATTAGGTTCTGGAAAGGAATCTAGAAGGAGAAAAAATACATTCTGTAAAAAAAACAAAAACATTCTGTATTACTTTAGTTATAAACTATACAGAATTTCAGCACAGGATAAGGGCTGGAGAAACAAAAGCAGCAAGAGAGCGCATAGACAAAAGTGTAGGAGTGTGTGAACATGTGCATGAGAAAGAAATGAGTTTCTGAAAGTGACATGTAAAGCACCTGTTTGTGGTTCTCCTAGGCCTAGTCCAAGAGGTTCACCATTCATAGGACAAATAGACACTGTCACACATATTTCCCAAAGACTACTAGTGAGGCTAAGTAGATCTGCACAGGATGATGCCACATATATTCAGGCACGTATAATACACCTGCAGGAATAGCTTTAATAGATATATAATGCCTGGGATTACCTGGTCAGCTTGCTCAAAAAGTTTGGCTGTCTACCTGAAAGTGCAGTGTGCCATCTGCACACGTTCTAGAAGTCATCACAAGGTGAGTAATTATGTGCACACAAATGAGATGCCACCTTTGAAAATTTGTTCAAGGTGCCTAAGCAACTCAAAAATAGAGCTAAAGAACAGCCTCCTCTTTTTCTGTTTGCTGCCCTGACAAATGCCCTGTCTAGACATTTTAAAGTTAATAGTGGTTCACATTCTTTATGCAGGTCTTCCAGTACTTACCTAACACATCAAGTTGAAAGTCTAAGTAGTGATCTTTCACAGAATCCCAGTACTGTAACATATACATGCCAGCATCATCCTTCTCCAAGTTAAATATAGTTAAGGATCCATTCTCCATAAGTACACTCCTGTTACGGAGAGGATCAAAATATGTCGGTTTGTTTTGCTCTTCCCATTCAGCCACTATATCCTTGTTTTTCTTCCACACAGGTTCCACTATTTTTTGGTCTATTTGTACTGGAAAAGTAAAATTTTCTCCCATGATGCCAACTACATACATACAGTCGATGTGTGCTATAGACGGAGGGAAAAAAAGAAAAAGTTACTTCAACAATTGTTTTATAAAACATCGCCTGACTAATGCCATATGCAACATCAGATACATTCAAATTTAGGTTAGAAGCATATCACAAAGTTGCAAACTAAGGTACACATCAGTTAAGAATTACCGAAACCCAGGCTGTCAACACAACTGTATGACAGGCACAGCAAAGGAATTCAGTTCCCACATTCTGGTCCCCGGCAGAATAACTGCCCTGATGATCTTCCCTACCCTAAACCCTTCTATCCTCAGTACTTTCCCTCTGTTCACTTGAATTAGGCCTCCTGCCCATTATCTGGTGAAAAATACTAAATGAAGAATTGTCACCACAAAAATCTGTTTTAGCATCTTATTGCAGAACGCCCAGACTGAAATTTCTGCTGATCAAATAAACTGCAATTTTTTCCAGTATGAATATTCACTGTTAGTAAAAAGCACACTTTTGACACAAAACTGATATCAAAGCACCTGCTCTGAAATCATGGACGTATAAGGGATTTCTCTTGAAATGTCACAGGCAATATATGTGAAACAGCATCGCATCCTCTGAGATCTATCAGAGCTGTCAGCAAGAATGAAGCTGTTCAGAGACCTCCACTGCTCTCAGTTTTGAGTCAATTACATTCTGCTAAAAATGACCAGGCATTCAATATAAATAAATAAACCACAGAGAGAGATAAGACATTTTCCCTAATTTTCATTGAAATCAGCTACATTTGTGAGGAAAAAAAACTTACTGATCTAACAGACAAAATCCTGCTGTGGGAAAGGAACCACAACCTTTACATCATCAGCATCTCTGTGTCTCTGCTTCAGTCTTCAGCAATCACCTCCCACTTCCAAATAATTCCAAATGGTTCTAAAACAATTGCAAGACCATGGCGTGGCAGACAGGAACATTAGACAAAAACACTTTGGGTTCAAGTTACACTTGCATTTAGGAATAGATTTTGGTCTGCAGTAGCTGGTAACTTTTTACTTCTATGTTGAAGGAAGGGCATGGTTAAAATACATATGAGGTGTCATATTAAGGCAGGATTTCTTATCTGCTTCATGTAAAACTTCCCTTTAAACAGCAGCTATGCATGGTGAAATAAATATTTCAGACAACTACTCCTCAGGCCAACTGGCTCCAGGTGACAGCTAGTATTCTGGGTTTTATCTTTTTCTATTTATTCCTAAATGGCATCAGTTTAAACACCCACCAATTCCTATATCCTAACAGACAGAACGTCAGCTAGGCCTTCCTTTCCCACTGGCAAAGGACAGTGTTCATCAGCTCTTCTGCCACACCATGGAAACACAGATTTTCTCTGACAGTACAGTGTACACAAGCAATAAAAACATACTTCCTTGTGCTTGGCTCGAGAACTGCACACACATCTTCTCCATGCCATCCTTTTTATGGAATATCCAATTTGTTTGCAATTTACCCATGAAAGCATTCTTCTCACACCACTGGAGTTGCAACTTCTCGTTGTCTGCACTTACACAGTAGCCTTTTCCAGGCACAATTCCAGGAATTGTAGAAGTAATCAGGGTAAGCTATCAACTCCCACATCTTGTCAACACGACCTACCTGCTTTCTTTGTATTCTACCCTGTTCAGGCAGATTTAAACATTTTGCTTGAACATCTCTTTCCACCTATCTCAATTAATGATTTCCAGAAGAAAAAAGAACGCAGAAACTCCAGACTGTGTCTGGAGACCACAAGATTGAAAGATGCTGGGTAGGGTGGGATGCCACTTTGATCTGATGAAGCCTGGAGTCTTGTTACAGATGGCTGTTCCATAGAGACAATTTCCAGGAGCACATATTCCTCAAGAAGTCATCCCTCACTGACTAAAGACCTATGGTACTCCTAGTATGGAGAAAAATACTGCTCTTCCCACTGTGAACTTCTACCTCTCGGTAGCTTTGGCTCACAGACACAACCAGGCTGTGGTGGCTTGACATCAGCAGAAGCTAAACCACAGTGGTTGTTGACAGGAGCCTTCAGCAAGGACAGCAGCTGTTTGCTGAGCACTAAGAAAACGAGCAAGGACAGCCACCACTGCTCAGCCAACCACTTATAACTTCCTACATCTGGATGTTGATCCAGGTAAATGCTCCATGTCTTTACTCTCTTTCAGTTAGTCATAAGTGCCAGGCTGGAGTTATGAGAACAAAATTGATGCTTCTTCAAGCCCAGGAACGAGACTGAAGAAAAGCAGAGCTGAAAAAACTCCACATTTTCTCTCCACAGGTTCTACATGGCACAGGGGGACACTGCTGTCTTCAGCTCACTCTTCTTGCTGGCTGGTAGAAAAAAGGCTTGGCAGCAAGGAGCTGATGAGCTCCTGCCCAAGGGCATTCAGGGCTCCCAGCAGCAGGAAAAGGTTATTCTTCAAGGATAAGGTCATCTACTCCCACCTTAAAACATCCAGTCTCTGGTTTTATTTCCCTGCTTCACTGGTCTAATGAAAAGGTGAAGAAGTCTCCCATTCTGTGTCGTCAGCTTCCTCTTTTCAAAAAAATCATACAGAAATGTTGCATAAGGTCATAACTGTGCATCTTTGAGCTTCTGGAAAAAGCATGTGTCATCATGTTTTCTAAATTCCTAAGAAACCCTTCCTCATCTTTTCTACTTCATTTTATATGGAAACATATTTCCTATTCCACAGTGGTGAGCAAAGAAGGAGAAGTGACAACCAAACACTCTCTCACAACTCTTTTTGGAAGGCTAGAACTGCCTTTTTTCTATTTCTTTGTTTTCTCCCTCTCTTCTTGTTATAGCCTATTATTTCAAGATATAGTTCACACAACAAAATAACGCTGTGCTAAGGCCTCCAGTAGCCTCTACAGAAACCATCAGACTACCTGCTCCTGTATCTCCTCAAGCCCACTCCAAATTCCTTCTTATGCCAAGTCTTTGTGTTCTTTCCTTCCAGTTAAATCACATGCTCAAAGTGGCACAGATAAAGGGGAGCTAACATTGTGTGGGCAAAGCCTCTTCTGCAAAACCACCACCTCACCTTGTCTACATCATCTTCTGCTCCCACTTCTCCAGCAGCCAGACCCACACAAATCAGTGCTGTACTCAAGTTTTAATGCTCCCCAGACTGATTTTGACTCTTTCAGCATTTTAGCAGACTAAAGGTACCCATATTCAGTTTAGACTAAGTAGAACTAATACTCCATTTACCAGCAATAAATGCTTCATTACTGTATTTGTCTACCTGATTTGACTTTCTTCACAATTTTTCTTGGAGCTGGCGTAAAGCCTAATTATTTTGGAGAACGTCTGTAAGCTAAGCCCTTTTTAATGTTATCATTAATATTTTTGGTCTCAAATACCTATTTGAAATGCATATAGGTATATATCAGGTCCATACAGGCAGCAGCTAGGTTGTCCTATTACCATTAAGACACTAACATTGCACCTGCTGAAACTGGGTGGAAAAGTCTTTACTAATTAGTTTATGGCAAGGAACTATTTACTTCAGGAGTAGTGCTTTCTAAAGAATAGATTTTTCTTTTAATGGTTGTAACTTCCCAATTACCCCTCTCTTCAGCTTTTTTAAAATTTTGAATTCCCCCAGTAACTCTAACCAGTAGACAATTATTTTCCCTCCTAAACCTCAAAACCACCAGGTGCAGAAAACCCTAAAATAAATGTTCAGGTCTAGAAGGACTAGGAGAATATTCACCAACCATAGTCTTCTTAATTCCCCCACAGGCCACAAACACTACCCAGTTCCCAAACTCCAGCAAGAAAGCACTTAAACCCATGATGTAAAAGCACAGGCAAAAGCTACAGCCAGGAGAGAGAGAACATAGATGATAATAAACTGTAACAGCAGCCCAGGCTGTTGCAAGGTAAAATCAGATTTGTGCAGGAATGAATGCAAATCCTACATGGACCATCCAAAGCAGAGGTGTTCTCCTGCATACTGCAGCACATTCACAGACGTGTTGCTCCCCTGGACAATATGGGCCTACATCTACAGAGCATCAGCAAAGGCAGGACTGAAAGGTGGCACCTACCAACAGCCATGGGTCCCTCCCCACTACATATCTTCAGTCATACCCGTCAGCAAGGGCCCAACAACAGGCAGTATTCCCATGTAGAGACTATCCAGTCATTTTTTAATTATGCTGGTGACCAAAAGCATGGAGATGACTTACTTGCTCCTCCTTCTCCCTTTTTTTTATCTACCTGTTCCTGCAGTGAAACAGGCATAGACAGTACAATCTGCTGACAGATTGTACTTGACACACACCTCCACTCCAACTAGAAAAACAACAAAAAAAAACCCACAGAAGGACTGTAATTTCCAGATGTGACTTACTATGGGAACACCAGTGCTCGTGCATGGAATAGAGCAGAAGTGAGTGAAATACGGAAGAATGAGAGTAAGAGCATAGAGGAGTGGCAGGCACTGATCTCTTTTCTGTGGTGACAGGACCCAAGACAATAGCCTGAAGTTGTGTCAGGGGAGGTTTAGGCTGGATATTAGAAAACGGTTCTTCACCCAGAGGGTGGTTTGGGAACTGGAACAGGCCAGGAAGGGAGAAGAACTGGGAATCACCACTTTTAGCAGTGGTAAACTACTACAGAGGATCATCGTGTCCTGCAGACTGACTTGCATTTAAGTCTGCCTTGACCTATGAAAAAAAGCAGCAATTTGAAAGCAGTCCAGAGACACTGGAACAAGTTGCCCAGAGAATGCATGCCCATCCCTGGCAATGTTCAAGGCCAGTCTGGATGGGGCTCTGAGCAATCTGGTCTAGTGGAAGGTGTCACTGCCCATGGCAGAAGGTTGGAACTGGATGATCATTAAGGTTTCCTCCAACCCATACCATTCCATGATTCCAAATCATCTGGTAACTTATTCCCAGCTTCCAGACAGCAGCACCTCCTATGCTGTACAAACAGTCTTCATGTAGGCTCTGTGATCAACAGCACTGAGAAGATAATCTGTCTCGGTAACTCTTTCAATCGGGTTCATTTTCAGCCAGATCATCTTTGCAGTTCTACTTATAAAGGATGGCACAAACTGATGCCATAGACAGGAACTGCTCCCGACCGGTGGCAACATCATTTTAAACAGACTCCAAATTACAACCTCTGTCTCTTACAAACCCTGGATCACCCAGCCAGCCCACAGTCACACTACCCTGGACAAAGCCACTAGGCTCTCCTGAGGCTCTAAACAGATAGTAGGACCAGTAAGGAAAAAAACCAAAAATAAACTAACCTACACGCATTTTTTTTAACACCTTTAACACACTCAAGATCAAAGGAGTCTGTGTATGCAATCCAGAGATGATCTTGGCTTTCTAAAGTTTAAGATCATAATTGCATTAAGGCATGAAACTTACAGAAAAATTTTTCACTGTGTTCATCCTGTAGTGTTAAATAGAAATGCAAAAATACAGTTTCATTTGGTTTTAATATGACATAACAACCTCAGCTCTTATTAAGAATTTTTATGCAGAGGGCAGAGGTTTGGTTTAATTTTTTTTTCTGAATTTATAACTTCCTCTATTTATTCAGGAAGTTTCAAGAGTAAGGGGACAGGAGAACACAAGCAGATGTCAGCTTCACACTGTTGATAAGTGATTTTTTCCAATTTATACTATTTTAAATTGTGTTTGATATTTCTATTAGCAACACACAAAATAACCACATTCCACAAACAACCTGAATTTGTTAGGAGTCCAGATTTTCCTACATTCATCACAATGCCTTGTAGTGTAGTTCCAATGACACCTCTCATGGAGTGGAGAGACACAGAAGAAACATTGAGCAATCCCAGTGTTTTTCTGATCAATGCAAATGTAGAAAGGAGCATTTATTTGTATGTATAGAGAAAGATAGGAAATCTTGAAATAATAATAATAAAAGAAAGAAGTCAGCCTACACTTGTTGAACTGCCAAATGACACAGACACAAAAAGCAACATTGAGAGAAGTTTGGTTTCTATGCTGGTCACTCAGAATAAGTCTGAAAGAAAAATTATTTTTGTCAGCTCTCAGGTTCTCAGTCTATGCTCAGTACTGGAGATGGCAACTTCTGCTTTTAGGTGAATCAGGTTTTCTCAGTTTAACTCAATTTTTATGAACAAGGCAAATTGAGAAAAGAAGCAACAATTAATGCAAACATACAATGAAAATGGCATTAAAGAATCCATCTAAATATGCAAGAACTAGAAAGCAGTAATACTGCATAAAAAAGAGTTGATGTTTGGAACACTGAAAGAGTTGTGTGGTTTTCAGATGAGCCTTACTACAGACGCAGGATGCTTCTAGGTTCTCTAGTTCACATATCCAGCCTACTTCCCATATCCCCTCTGCTTTTGGGGCAGGATTCTGATGGTGCTAAAGCAAGTAGAAGTTTGGCTGCCATCTGCCCTGCAACAGAACATCCCCTCAGGTGTGGCTTGCACTGTGATCCTCCTGTTGGTGTGGTATTATTAATTCACCTCCTCCACAGGGAGGATGCAAAGACCTTTCTGTGGGTTCCTTCACCAAACTAGGCCACAGATACCACATTGACTTTCTTTCCACCCACATACAATATCCAGGATCCCAAATCTGAACACAGTTTTTGTCTTGAACTTCCAACAACTGAAGGAGCATGCTCTTGGGAGATCTAATATCAAAGTTCTTCCATAGCCTTGAGGCAATGCTTTGTGCTGTAATTGACAAGTCTGAGGTTTCATCCGATAAAAATCTCACATGGCCTGACATTGTGAAAAGCAGCAACCCTATGTGTCCCGTAGGAATTCTGAAAGACACCAAAGCTACACTGCAACTTCTGGCTCCCACAGGGTAATGAAGGACATCTTCTTCCCTACTCCAGACATTCAGCAATGTGACTAGGATAAGTACAATGCTTTGAATTTGGATGGAGAAAGGATTCTGGAGGGGAAGGCTGACAAAGGATGAGGATCTACCAAGAGCATCCTGGTATTTAAAACAGGTGTTTGCAAGGCTAGAAACTTGCATGCCAAGTTGAACTGCTACTGATTTACTTCATGCACTTGGGCAGATCAGTCTGACTTTCAGGGTCTTGATTTTCACATAGAGAGATGATGGATTATTTTACCTTGTTAAAATTATCATGAAACATTTACATATAGTCAACACACACATAACAATAATGCAACTATACAAACAAAACCATGGTGTGAAACCATGCCTATTTAGTTTAGTGAAAAACAGTAAAGTGCTTGCATTCCTGATCTCCTGCCCTAATCCACCACTTTAGAATTCAAGTTTTACAGAGAAGACAACAGAACTAGCTACGTTTTTCATTAAAGTAGGACATTATACTTGCCGCCACAACTACCCTCTCCAGTTGTCTAAGCACCATCACCTCTTCCTTTCAATTGTATGCTCTTTGAAACCTGTAATCTTCTATTTCCTGGTAGGCCTATAGCACTTGGGCTAAAATGCACAGAGTAGTAGCAGCATGCCAATTTACATAATGCAAGATAACAAACTGCCGTGACTCACAGAAAAAGTTACAAGAAGATACTCTGTTAATCATGCCTTATTCCCACTCATTTAGAACTCCGCAAAAGCAGGGCAGGTGACCTAAGAAATTGCAGCTAAGACTTAACATGGGCTGACTCATGCAGGTGTGCAGTGCCCTGGATTCTCCACTGATCCTCTCTGCACACATGGATCCCCAACACTCTCTTAGAAAAAGGATCTCGCCATATCAAATAAAACAAGTTGAAGACCTCTGGAATAATGCGAGGAGGAAATAACAGGGAGTTGTTCTGAACTCTCAGCAGCAGAAAAGTTCCTTTTTAAACAGCCCCCTTTTTAGGCACATTCAGGAAAGTCCCAATAAAAAAAAAAAAAAACCCAAAACCCAAAGTCAGAAGAAATCCCTTAGACTAGAGGAATTAAAGGTCTTCATAGATTAAATCATCATTTTTGGCCCATCTAGCAATAGCAGCTCGCTCTGATGACAGAAAGTTTGTACATCCATCTTCAAGTTTAAAAATGAACAAATTTTGTTTATACGTTTCATGTTCACAGCCCAGCGCAAAAGCTATGCGTGTGAGGACTGTGCTCCTAAGGCACAGCGGTGACATTTGGATTAAGAAGGCATTTGATTAGCATTTTAACAGCAGATAATAGTAATAATTTACTTCTAAAAAAAAAAAAAAAAAAAAACCAAAAAAAAAAAAAAAAAAAAAACCAAACCAAAACCCAAAAAAAACAAACTAAAAAATCCAACGCATCAAACAAACCCAATTGCTAAAAAAACTCCCCAAACCAGCACAAAACGATTGAGAACTTCGATGATTTGTCCATGAGCAAGAACAAACACAGGAATTCAAACTAAACAGCACTTTCACGTTTAGAGGTGACAAGAATACTTCTACAATAAAAGCTGGTTTCCTGACTTCTTTAACACTTCAGGACGCGGAGGAGGCTGCCCTTTTGCTGTGGTGCTGCTTCCTTAGCAGCGCGGGGTAATCTCGGGGCAGGAATCAACAGCCTGTGCACGAGTGCAACAAAAATCGCACACATCCCCACCCCAAACTTCCCGTTATCACCAGTTTGAAACAAACGGGGCACGGGAACCTGCCGGTTGAGTGGGCAGTTCCTGAACGTGACGATGGGCCGATACGTAATTCTAGTTTTAGGTCTAAACCGGGAGGGAGGCAGCCGCCCGGTTGTGCCCGCCGCCCCTGGGCAGGGCAGCGAGCGAGCGGCCGGGGACAGCCGCCCCGCGCACGGAGCCACTGTCGCAGGGCTCGTGAGGGACTGGGGGCAGCTGGGGCAGCTCCCCGGGCACCTCAGAACCCCCTGCTGATCCCTACCGCGCCCGCCCCCGCCGCTCCCCTCCGAGGCAGAACAAGCCCGGCCGAATGGCCGGGGAGCGGAAGCCGAGGGTGCCCCGCTCCCGCTGCCCCGGGCAGCATGGAGAGAAGGACGAAGAAAAGAGAAGGAGTCGGAAAGGTCCCCACTGCCCACAGCTTACCTTGCAGGGGCGTAAGGCACAGGAGTGAAGCCAGCAGCCACATCTCTGCGCACACGATCACTGCCCCGGCGGAAACCAAAACCCGGCAGTGGCCGCGGCCGTAGCCACGCCCGCCCCGCCCCGCCCCGCCCCGCCCGGCGCCCAGCGCCGCCAGCGTCGCTTTCCGCTAAGAGGCCCCCGAGAGCGCTTCTTCTGGAAAATCCGAGGCTGTGGGGAAAAGGGGTTTCAGCTGCGGGGGCTGCCTCCGGTGTGCCCTGTGCGGTGCCAGATGGCATACAGAGCCTTGGAGTGCTAGGTGGTGCCGTGAAAGGGTTTGTGGTTCATGGGGCGCAGCTCCAGCAATTGCTGACGACAGAAGTTGTCGTGTTGCTCTTACATCAGGGAGGTTCAGCTCTGATAATTGAAAACCTGAAAGTAAATCAATTTAGTGTGGAGTGGGAGCCGCGGAGGTTAAGTGAGGAAAGAATTTCAGCAGGCGGCATACAGCTCAACCCCTCAGAAAATGATCACAGAATAGTTTGGGTCAGTTCCAACCCCTCTGCCATGGGCAGGGACACCTCTGGCTCCCAATACTCCCTGGAGCCCAGTCGTGCTCCCAAAAATGTCGTCTATTCTTTTCGAGAAACACATGCTAATATCTCCTTTTTGCGGGGTGGGCTCAAGGCTAAGCCTGGCCATGCTCTCTTGTTCCACCCAAAGTGAGGTTGGTCTCTGGGGGTGGTGAGTGAAGGAAAAGAAATAGAATAGAAACCAACTCTGACTTTTAGGTGTTTTCTTTGACACCAGCTGCTCAGCAACACATTCACAAAACTCAAACACACTTAGATTCTGTTTCATTGATGACTGGCTTCTTGACACTGCTGAGTGTTTTTGAGGAAGAAAACACAACAGTTTGGAAAACAGAAGTGTGGTAGTCAAATTGGCTAAGATGGACTGGGGCTTAACCCAGGTACCCTACACAGAGGGCATGAATCTGAGTAAGAAGCAAAGGCCTTAGACATAAGGTCTGGCCCCTGCCCTGCAGATGCGAAGGCTTTGGCCTAAAACCAAGAGACTTGTGGGAACATGTTGTTATAAATGACAATATAGTATTGGCTTTCACATTTATGTATTAGACTTTACAAGTTATTATTAACCACAAAGATTTTGATATAGTACAATTTGTCTGTTATAATCTGTATTGGCTTGAAAGCAAAACCAGTGCGAGACTCCAAGTCAGTAATACAATTTAATAGGAAAAAAGAGAAAAAATAAAATACATGCAATAATACAAAAGAAAACCACTGACAGAGTCAGAATACAACCTGACACCCTGTCAGTCAGGGTGTTGGTAGCAGTCCGTATAAATGGTGGCTGCAGTCCTCCTGGATGACAGATGTGGTTCAGTTGAAGCAGTGCTCCTGTACAAGGTGCAGTTTTCCTCGGAAGGTCTAGTGATGATGTGGAAAAGGTCCGACTTTCCTCTGGGATCCAGTGGAAAGGTCTGCCTTCGCGCCCCAAATCCCAGTTTTTTATCTAGGTAGGAAAGGCTTGGCTCCTGCCCCTGGTTGGGGCATCTCCCAATGGGATGATGTAATCTTATCAGTCACACAATAGGACTTAATGGCCCATTAACGGAATATATCTTCTGGAGGAAGGATGGGTTGTGAAAAGATAACGATGATCATCCCCCTGATTTTATCAGATGGCACATCAGCAGAGGATATCTCTCACAGAGATAAGGATCACCACCCCTCCTACATTTTAACAGATGGTGATAGAATACACATTTTTGCATTGTACCCCAGGACATAATCTTACCTAACATTAGTTTATTTTTAACCTTTTTGCTTTCTTCATGTACATTGAAAGACACCCTAAAAACTTTTGTGGAATTACCCAAGATAGTCATCAGTGTAACAAAATGCAATTTTTTTTTACTGAAAAGCTGCTTATTTCCTTTCAAAAATGCTTATAACAGGGCATTAGAAGAGAAAGTTTTTGCAATAAGCATAGATTTGTATTTTTAAACTTACTTTTGCCCCATTAATTAAGTGATACTTTCACTGTAACCAATGAGAATAATATTTAAGACATGCTGTAAGTCGTTTTCAGGTAAAAAATTCTACATCACTCTCTGCCTTTGGATTAGAAAAATTATTTATTGTATTTTTAAAATGTTTTTTCCTCCCATATAGCTATTATTTTATTTCCCCTTGAAATATATTATTGTGCATTAGTTCCAAATTAAACCAAACAAATCAGAACAATTAGAATCAGTTTTCAAACTTTGTGATTCATAAGTTTGTAATTTGTAACTTTGTTAAACACTTAGTGCTGTCGAGGCATAAGGAGTAGGACCCTAGAAAATATTTTATAAGGGGTGTCCCTCGAAAGAGACTACTCCAGTGTTTGTAATTTAATTTTGTTTAGTTAGATGTAAGAGGCACCTTCCAGGAGAGAGGAGTAAAACTTTTAAAAATTAACTTAACATGGGGCACCCCCTGGGGACGATCACTCTGACCTTTGAAATAATATAATACATAATGCACAAGCTTTGTTTTCTTTGTTGAATTAATTTAGTGTCCAGCCATCTTCTGCAGAGATGGTCTAAGCACGAAAATGGTTAATATAACATTCAAGTAATTATTAATTCTCTACCCTGCTTGCAAGGAAAGAGTTAAAAGAAGGCTGTAGGCAAAGTCATTGCCTGCTGCCTAACTTGATTGTCATGTCCAAAGTAAGCTTCGGAATGCAAATGAGAGAGAATTTTACCAGGGGAAAACTTCGAAGTTTTGAACCTAAGGCATGCTCTGAAATTCAGTCTTATAACAATTTTTTTGTGGTGATCAGCAGAAAAATTGAAGAAATGTACAAAACTGTTCTAATAAAGAGCAATATGTTTTCACTGAGATCTGATAACAAAGAAACATGTCTACCTTGAATTTAAAATTGGCAAAAGTCAACAAACTACTACCAAATAGTGCCATGTTTAGCCACTGAAAAATCAAAACCTGGTCATCAACCTGGCAAAATTAGAATCCAGTCAATAAAATACAGTGAAATAGTATACAGACTAGATGAAGAGCAAAATTAAGATAAATTAGAAGAAAAGGAGCAACTGTTATCTATAAAGTTGATAAAGCTAAATACTCCAGGCAAAAAAATCTACTGCCCTGAAAGAGAGGCAACTCAAATAGCTGAACCACTCTTCCCACTGAACATAAAATCAGTTAGAAGAAACCCTACTGAAAAACTGTGGGGCAAAACATGAAAACTAAAACCCTATCTAAATAATAATAACATGATATAATTAACAGCTTGTTACACTTAGGCATACTCTTTGCCCAAGTATTCTCTTTTTTTAAGAATTCCAAACATCCCTGCACTGAAGATAAGGAGAATGAATTTAGGAGCAAGAAAACTGCAAGCAGCAGATTCATGCCTAGATGTGGTAACTATTTCTTCACTTTAGCCTCTGTCATGTTGTAAAATACTAAAAAAAGGTTTTATTTTCTTTTTATATTGGTCTGTGGATGCTGAGTGGATACTTACTTCAACCTCCTTCGACTGCATCCCACTCCCAGTGCATTACTCTGGTGGAGAAGACTCCAGGTGCAGACCTTAGAGTCTCAAAGCATGCTCAGCTCCCAGCAGCTTGTCTGTCTGTCCTGGAGAGCACCAGCACAGCACAGTGCTGTGAAGGAGGCTCTCACCACATGTTTATCTCTCAGTCAGATCTCTCCTAGTACACTTGTCCCTCGAATTCATGGGAGCAGCTGTGGCGGGCTATTCATCACCTCTTCGAGAAACCTCAGCTTTGCACTTCACACAACAGAATCAGAAAAAAAAATTGGCAGCCGTGGATATCTCTGAGCAGAGGTCCTTCAGAGTGAACACTGAAGTTATTCCAACTCTGAAGGATTTTTCTTCTCTTCTAGGAGTTACTCTAAGCTCCTTTAACTCGTCGCTGAAGGCTGCAGCATGAGCTGGAATGACACTTCATCTTGAGCTGAGCAATGCTGTCTCATTCAGTTCTTACAAAAACAGAATAATACTGATCCTTTCTTCACATCTGTGTTGGAATGTCATTTATGTAACTCACAAGTGGAGATAGGCTCATCCCATAAATTCCTTTTGCTCAGTGACGTGGAACCTTTCTGTTCCCTCGGTTACCTTTTCCCCTCTTAATCTCTGACAAGTGTCAAAGGGAGCTCCCTACACTGTAGAGGCTCCAAGTCACAGTGTTTACACCAGAAATATAACATGGTCATCTTTCTGCAGCACTATCATTGCAGAAGCACACGTTCTCTGCTGCTGATTCATCCTCTTGTCAGGTAAAATGTTCTCCCAAGTTGTCAGAGGCTTTGGATTGAATCTTATTTCTGGGAAGATGTTTGCACACTACAACTTTCTTGTAGGTCATGAAATCTTGGTGGTTAGGAGAGAAAAATCTGAACTAGACAGTTTCACTTTCAAACAGGTTATTTTAGGGTGGAAGAAACCTCAAGAGGTCACTCACATGCACTTAAGGCAGGCCTATGTTCTTCCTACTGAGCTGCTCCACATTGTAGAAGATGATTAGGGCCTCACAGGGCAGAGAAAGTGAGAGAGAAACTTGAACCTGGAGGCTGATGCCCTCACCTAAGCTCTTCTACTTGGCAATACATGGTAAGGATGCCTTTTCCTTTATGCATATAGGCATACCAGGTGGAAGATCCATAAAGTACTCAAAAAAGGCTCAGATGCTGGTTTTCCTCCTTTCCTGACAGAGTACCCAAGCAGACTTGCCCATGTTTTCTCTTCCTCAGTTGCCAAGACAATCTTTAATGTTTACTTCCTTCTCTGTCATTGCTGGGACACACTTCTGAAAGCAGGGAGTCAAATTGCTTTTTGTTGAGATGAGAACTAGTCCTCGTTCCTCTGTCAATCCTGGGAACGATACACAGGAGTTTACATGCTTAACACAAAGCCATGGTTTCTACTTCACAGGCAAATGGCAGAAATTCTTGAGACCAAGTATTTCAACAGTAGGGGGGGAATCCAGAACTTAATGAACAGTGAGCTAAGCTCTGAGTGTATTTCATGCCCTTCTTCGAATGCAAAGGCTGCAGGGAGAGGTTTTAAATAGTGATCATTTGCTTATCTCACACTTGGCTTCCCCCAGGGTCTGCTGCTGCTACCCTAACTGCATTGTTTCTAGTATCAAAAATTAGTTTTCCAGGCTAAGTGAATTTTCCTGATCAGATTTCCACTTGACCACTGGGTATGTGCAGTGCTTATATGCCTCTGCCAGCTGTTGCTTTGTGTGTGAGGACTCAACATTTTCATCTGAGCTGGGGACTTTCAGCATTTGCTTGAATGTGCAGACAGCACATTTTTAAAATTTTCTTTTTAATTAAAAGAATTTGTGCATAAAATCAAGTTTGTTTGCTTTTGTTATCCCTGACATTCTCAAGCAAATCACACTGTGCTTCATGACTGCACTGTAAGGGACTGTTAAAATAAATCTACCATGGTTTGAAAGTCTTTGCAACAGTGCTCCCATTGCCATTTTAATCACTCCCATTGGGAAGCAAAATGAGAGGCATTAAGTTTCTAAATTAATATATAACTACAAATACTCTGTAATTAAGTTTACAAGCAATAAAAGAAAACCCTTCATACCAAATTAGTTTTACTAGCAAAGGCACAGCGTTTTAAGCTCTGTGTAACGCGTGGCTTTTCCTGTTCGAATAAGGAATCACCACAGTGTGCTTCTATAATTAATAAAAAAATACTGGAATTACTAAATCTGAGAATTCAGAAAAAAATACTGCTCAGGAAAGAAAATTTTCAATTTCATTAAGACATTTATTTTTTTTAAAACACCAATTTTGTGCATTTGCAGAGTAGTTAAACACCAGGATGTTGTTTAATGTTGCAAGCTCTGCAAATACACAAAATAAAAACAGATCTGCACATCTGGGCCAAAGTTTTGTTTAACTCTAGGGCTGTAATACTGGTGCCGGATTTATATTACACGACATTTCAAAATTTCCATATGACTTGGCAAAGAAGGAATGGGTCTGTTGGAGTGCATAGGCTTTATCTTACAATCTGAGAATTGTAAGATAAAATAAGATTAATCTGGTTCTGGGAATGGAAAGATGAAGAGTGGGCTGGAAGCCAGGACCTGGCTATTGGCATTCCAGTTTTCACTCTTGGAAAATTGATTGGGTTGACAAACTCAGTCACATATTTGTGAGACACTGAGGACCTGCTTCTCTGACAATAAGCCAGCTTGATCCTGGAGACAAATACTTCAGGGTCAGAAGGTATCTCTGTATGTATCTCTGGGAAGATGCAGTTGGTGTGGGGCTTCAATAGTCCTCCAGGCTAGGCAGCCAAGGCTGCCTAACTTTCAGTGAAAACTGGAGAAATTTATCTCAGAAGACTTGGAAATAAAATTATCTTCTGCCTAAAACAGCCCCAAAGCCTTCAGATGGGACAAACTGGGGTAAGGAAATTACTATCACCAATAGTTCTAAAGAAAAGTAATGTCTGGTGCTTTTTTATTCAAAAGGTCTTTTTTAAGTATTTGAATGCTTATGATGCTGGTGCATTACTGAAGGGCGCCCCCACCCTAAAAATGTAGTCTGAGCATTTTATGGTGATATGGCCACCAGTTACATTTAAGCCAGTCTTTCCCCTCATTTTTCATATGTAATCCACTGTTCTGCCTTATTTGGACTGCTAGGGGTATCTGACCAAAAGTAGAAATACAGGAAAGACAGCAATGCAGTAGGAAAATATGTTGCAAGGCTGATATTAATCTTCCTGGCATGGACTTACTGCAAAGCCTTGTGATAAACCAGCATCCCTAGTCAGAATTTGGCAGAAAGGTAGCAAGGATAAAGCACTGTAATTCTATTGCTTGCTGGGACTGGTTTCACTGGCTGATTTCTGAAGTGAGAAGTTTCCCTTGAGGAAATGGAGGTAGGGAGGAAAGGAAGGTCAACGTCCCCTTTAACCAAAAAGTCAGTGACGCTCTGCTTCAAATTTTGGCTAATGGTTAAGAGCAGAGGTAATTGCTCAAAATCCAAATTTGGTAATTTTCCCAAAAGTGCACAGGCTGATTGATCGTTACAGAGTCGTTAGCTGATCATTAACCACAGCTGGTTTTGCCCTGTACAATCCTTATATTTGTATCGGACAAACAGGAAGATGGTTGAAGATCCGAAGAGAAAACTGCTCATTGTTCTTGCTGTCCTCTTGCTGCCCAGCTCAGCACAAACAGGTAAGAAAAACATGAGTGCCTGGCAAGGGATTGAAGGTTTTACAGAGAAGGATCTGAATTCAATTCTCCCTAAATAAGCTGTATGTCAAGAGGTCCTTGCAATAATCTTGTTAGGTGCCAGGGAGAAAAAGTAGTGCAAGAATGAGTCCTTTCTTCTCTTATGCTTTGATTCAATCACTCTTAGTGATTTCATTCCATTAACCTCATTTACAAGAGTAATCCAGGTTTACTCTAAAGTGTAAGGATACAGAAAAGGGAGCACTTGGCCTCTGGCAGTGGCTTCTCCTGCTTCAAAAACTCAGCAAGTGTGATTTGCAGTAGCTGAGAGAAAATAAACAAATGCCACAGTTCCATTTCCTTCTTTAACTGTACCAACAACAAGACTGCCTTAGTGATCACATTACAGTTCCATATCACTTGGAGCTTCACTGCAGTACAACTCCTGCCGTGCCTTTACTGATGATTCCCCTAATCTTATATCACTTCTGACACACACTGTGCTGGCACTGGACCCACTTTTGCTACTTAGACTGGCTCATGACCCACATTTTTTCCAAGCTAATCTCTAAAAATGTTTCTTTCTTCCTTGTCAGTGCACAGTAAGACTAAAATAAACAACAGTAAGGGATAGTCACATCTTTCTAGGGGAATCTGAATATTAAATCTCACCCCTTTGTGCTGACCCGTAGGCCATGTTTTGTCTCGCTGGTGTAAAGTGTCTTCTGAGGGAAATTGGGAAGATGGTTGTTTGATTTAAGAATACATAAATGAATAATTATTTTATCATATGTCAGATTCAAGGTTGTTTCACTTCCTCCAATTCAGAAAGGGAAGGTCCGTGTATTGTTATTGCAGCAGGATGTCACTACGCCAGCTCTTAAAGTAGCACTGCTAGTGACATATACTGCTGAACTTTTGTGCTTACTTTTTAGCCTTTATTTGCTCGGCTGTTTTACTAGCTACAGGTGGAATGTTTAGTTTTTTCTATCTAGGTCAAAGTACCTTCCAGCAGCAACCTTTTCCTTCTCAAAAAGCATTTTCATGCAGTAAATATATCAATTGTGAAATTATCATTGGCATATTTTTCATCAGCATTCTCATATTTTATCATCAGTATTCTCATCCTTATTTCTGGATTTTTGATGCAACTGTCAGCTAGACTTGTACCTTCCACTAAGCCTACCAGAATTTGAATAGAAGTTTCCCCATTCAGTGGTGACTACCTGTCAGCAACCATTTTTTAAAAAATCTAACAGCCACCTCATAAATGTACTAAGTAGCTGGTGTAGGTGGCCAATCTGCTAAAAAGACCCAGCAAAATACCACTCACTTCATGGTAAAACAACTCTCAGAAGTCAAAACTGGTTAGACATCCGTGGTTATTTTCCCAGCCAGAGCTGAAATTACATCAAAGGACACAAACAACTTTATCAGTCAGGTAAAGTTTCCAGAATTGTCTCATTTTAATTTATGCTCCATACTTTTAATCTTTATCAATAGAAGTGAAGTTGCTATCTTCATTTTCCTAATGAATTAGAATGAGGGGATTTTTTTCCCATTGCACAAACATAGACTAAATGTACCACTCCCTCCTCCCTGTGCAGTGAATACAGACAGACTCTCAGGGCATCACTGCACTGACTTCCAGACAGCCAATTTTCTACGGGGCAGCAAACTTAAGGTCCAGTTTCTTCTGTTCACTCCTTCGAGCCCCAGCTGTGGAGAACTGATTTCAGCTGATGATGGCATCAAGAACTGCAGTTTCAACAGCAACCTGAAAACCAAAATCATCATCCATGGCTTCAGGTGAGAGAAAGAAGAGCACTGTGACTAAGTTTTCACTGGTAAATCAAATACTGTAGGAGCATTCCGAAACACTGGGTGGGCTGGCATGCAACTCTCCTGCTTGTGTGACCTTCTTATCTCCCCAGCAGAGTGGCTGCATGCAAAACAACTGCTAAGAACAGAGACTGGGATTCTCAGCTCAAATTGGAACCAGGAATTTTCTGGGAAGCTGTTGGCAGAAAATGCTGCTGACACCCCACATTACAGCACAATTTGAAGTCTTTTAGTTTGTGACCAGCTGCCCTTTCTTGTGTGTGCTTCACACTTTAGAGCCTAAAAAAAGTTAGAAATTAGTATCAAAATCTTCCTTCCTTCCTTCCTTCCTTCCTTCCTTCCTTCCTTCCTTCCTTCCTTCCTTCCTTCCTTCCTT